AGTCCAAGTAAGTAATGACACGTTCTCAAAAGTAAAGTCAGGTTCTGAAATGAGTTATACAACAACGAAACACACAGACAAACTAACAAGTATCAAACACGTCCAGCTTAAAATCGCACAAGGAAATAGGGTATTTCTCAATGAGATGACTATGACGACCTTAATATTTCCCCATAATTTTCGTCGCCCTGCATCTTTAGAAATCATATGTAACGGCTTTATCCGTTAGTTGACGACGTCTTGCTTAAAAATGGTGATATTGGGAACAGGCCTTTGAATATGGAATCAACTGCGATATATAAACACAGCAAGATGTTAGAGATCAAATTTATATTTTGATTGCTTTCTGCCAAACTCTTCCTCTCTCTTTATTTTAACAAGGATAAAAAAATCGTGATATTGGGAACAGGCCCTTGAATATCGAATGAACTGCGATATATAAACATAGGCTTTGGAAGAAAGACACAACAATTTTTATTTTTATATATAAGACCTTTACTTGAATATGCTGATATTGTATGTGACAACTGCTTATTATATTCGAACACAAACTTATTCGAATCGGTACAATTAGACTGGGTTTCTTTTAAATTTTCGTAGAAAGCAACTTAAATTAATGATGTATATAATTATAAATGATCCAATCCCCAACTTATCTGAAAGAATTTATTGAGTCCCATTTGCGAGAACCAGATTTCGATAGATATAATCTTTGTAGTTTTAGAAACAATACCTTTTTTAAGAGTTTATTTCGTATATGCTTAATTAATTCAGCGATATTGCTTAAGATTTAGAAAATGTCCACCAGCTTTCTCAATACATAGCAAGATAGCAGGATATATTTTGATTTTCAGGAAAAAGAGAAATTAATTCTTTTAAATCATGTATCAAAATCTGGATCATGTTCATGTTGCTTCAGAATCGAAACAGCGTCGCATTTTTTCTTTCATTGTTGTTTTAATATACAAATATTCAAGTCATATTATATAAAAATATTGCGCATGAAACTCATTACTATCCATCAATAGATCCTATCCCAATGGTTGCGAGATTTGTGATAAAAATGAAAATAGAATTATGTTTGTTTAGATAGAATTTCTGAGTCTTATCAGTTAATGGTCTGGAGAGTAGTGAACTGGACTTTTTTGTCTATCTCATGAGGCGAAAAAATTTAATCTCAACAAATGTCTACCAGTTTATAGCCTAGTGATAAATAAAATAATTTTCTATGTATTTAAGTAGAAGTTAACAATTTCCATGCCAATAAGTTCTTGAATCCAATTAATTAAACAAAATCAAATCAGGTAGATAGGAGTTACTTCTCTTGAGTTATATTACATTATAATCATCTGCTGACAATATTGTATGTTAATGTATTTTCTCATCCCACTGTGATGTGTGGGAGTGGACTGTTTTGATGTACCGTATATGTTTATTTGTCAGTAAAATTGTTTGAAATGGAAATGAAACTATTGTAAACAGACGACCTGATGTATTAGGTCTTCACTACCATCTAACCAGTCATCACTACTGTGCTAAACAGTGATTTTGTTCATGTAGAATCGTAGTTACACAAAACGCTGTACTGACGCTACTTAACATATTAATCTTGGATATACACTGGAGGTTGTTAACATATCAATCGTTGATATACGCTGGGGTTTATTTATATACTTATCCTTGACATACACTGACGTTTGCTTTCCGTATAAGATCCATAATTTTAATATAACAATATCTTAGATCTATATTTAATCCCGTGGTGGGGATGACAGTTCCATGAAACGGAGTACATGTAATATCATATACACTAGTTTGATAGAATTCGACAAAAAGCTTAAGAAATACAAGCCTTGGTATCATGTACAATTATACGGTTTTCATGAAAAATAAAATATCACATATATATAAGGTTATAGTTTCCAGTTAGATTATCATATATTTATAAGAGAAGATGCGAATGCTCTGTCTCGCTGTATACAATATTCTAACATTTTTAATGTCAGTTTCCATGTGATGAAGCTGTCTTAGGTCCAGTCGGTATTGCCAACATGACACACAGCTCTACCATTGTCCAACTTGTGTGATAGGTACATCAATTTGCTCTTGAAGTCGTCCGAATTAACGTAACAACCCTGCAACAGCAATTTAGTTTAAAGTATGAAAAATTGTATAAGACCCTTTATGGATAGAATCGTAACATCAGTTAGAATAAAACATAGTAGAAAATAATAACCCCTGGAAACAGACCAATACCGGAAGAGATATGGCAATTAATAAAGACAAACAAACAGTATATTATTTTCATTTATCAGCGGAAAACATCCAGGTATGAGTATTAATACAGCTTTAAAACCATTTCATTTTCAAGTGAATCTTGTTATCTAACCTGTAAGTGTCTTTCACCCTCTCCAGTGAATGCGTTTCTTGAATGAGCAAGTCGTCTGTTATTGAAGCAGATCATATCACCCTTCCGAAGACGTACGACTCTCTTGTAAAGAGAAAATACACGTATCAGCTACATTTGTTATCGTAGTTTGAACATTGTTTGATAGGATACAGTAGTATTATGTGTTGCATTGTATCGTTATCGCAAATACTGCATAATTAAATGACATCTTTGTGATATTTCAATGCCAACGATATGCCAACGTCTACTCATATTTTAGATAATAATCGATTCAATTTAAGAAGAGTGACATAGAGATTTATTGTTTGCACAAACTACATGATCTGGTTTTGTTTACATTTCTGCTTCTCATCAATTCATATATACACATATATATGTGTTAATGGTTACCCTGTGAGGGAAGTCATTGATAGCCCTGGCGAAAAGCTGATAGGCCCGATAGAACTCTTCAACATTGTTCTGTAATATGATAAAAGAACATTATATCGAACGTTTATCATGATATAATTATATATTGATGAAACATTGATCAATGATGAAACAGGATAATATCAATCTCCAGTATGTTGCGATGTTAGTATAGGTTGTTTACGGAAGAACGTTGTTGTTAATTGTCACAAGATCTATAACTGTAACAGTGACTATAGATCAATGCTTGTTTGGCATTACTTTTATCAGAATCAGAAGAATCAGTTTACTTGACTAAAATTGATACCATATCTAACTTATTATTAAAAAGATACATAAGGTACAATCTATTTTAACGAATATAAAAACATCAAGCATGAACTGTTTATTCAGATGTCATACACCAATGAACGTGTTTTATTCAGTACGTTCACTACCAGAATAAATATCTACTTCTGAAATATTATGCTGATTTGGTCATGAAATAGTTCTATATCGGTTGTTAGTATACAAGAAATATAATATTCTACTTAAACTGTTAATATGAAATGTAGTTCTTACCTCATTCACCAGAGGAGGTCCAAGTTCGTGTTCATGCCAAGTTATACTATTGATCTGAAAAAGAGGGGAAAATACATAATCCTTTTATGGTCACTCATTCTTTTAATATTTGATAACGTCATCAAGGTGAAATTGGTCCCATCTGTAGTTGAAATTACTGACCTTAAATTGAACAATGAATAGTGCAGAGCGAGTTCACAATCGTTTACAAATAATGACATGTCAAGGAAGAAATTTTAAAAAGCTGATAATTTAATCTTTTTACAAGTAAACCAATGTTTACCCGGTTCTCGTCGTTAAGAGATATCAGCGGCCTTCTGAGAATCATATGGACAGGATTCTCTCTGTTCGGGTTATATATGTAAAATAAACAGGTACAGCATAATACCATATATATCATGATATTAATCATTTATCTCTGATTAATATGATATTTGAAAAAATACATAATTCAGCAATGAAACATTAGCCTGATGTACAACAAACAATGTCATCATGAAGTGAAACCGACAATGGTTCTCTAAGAGGCGAATGATTTTCTTATATCATAGTGATAGTCAAAAGTGATGAGACGTGTTTAATTCTTTTTTAATATTTTTCTTTGTTACAGCAAGTTTCGTGCTTGTTTTCTCGCCTTGGTAGGAGGCTGTTAACTTCATAACCAACTCTGATTTCATTAGCCTCTCTCTTTGAACTATATCATGAAATAGGTAAACGTTTCATGTAAGTAGAAATATATCAGTGAACATAGATAAATCACAATATTACCGATCATAATGAATCCTGTTGAATGTAAACGGAACTTCAGTCAAAATACGGAACTCCTCTGGAAAATCTTCTCGGAATTTCTCAGCAATGTGATATAAGTCAACAAACAGGGTTTCACCACCCTCTAACGAGTCATCAAATCTTGATGAAAATTAGGTAGAATGATTATGCTTGGATAAATTAGCGCATACGATTACTCAAAGAGATTAGATCAGCATGGTCAAAATCGTGATATGGTTTTCAAAAGTAATGGTTGTTATCTCTGTAATATTACGACAAGAGTCTTCATGCTAAAAGTAAGGTTTTATTACCAGTAAAGATGCAACTCCTATTTACTATTAGAACATACAAAACTATAAGTTTGAAACATTTATAACGATTGATAACGAAATATAATACATGACGATACAGTGTTGTATTCATAACAACAGAAGTGGCATATTGTTGGACAGGTTATCATGATAAATTGACAATGATGTAGCTCAAAACACATATTTACTGTCGATGTGATATTATGTCTCTCATTCTCTGTATTTGGCAGGAGAGGCAAGTACTATACCATCTCCTAGTTTCTACACATAAATATATATATGCAAAAAACATCAATCAAGAATATAATTAGATATTTCTGTACAACTTTCAAATGTTCTCTTTTATTTTCAGTTTCACACAACTTACTTTAGACAGTGTAGAAACTGTACACCGGGCTGGGCTTCGTATATGGCCAGATCCGTGTGGAAGAGAAGAGCCTGACGTCCATACGCAGCGTTGATAATCTTCTTATGCAATTTGATGTCCCAGATCTGTCATTTACATAACATTTATATAGAGTGATTTATTATAAATAACAGTAAACAGGACAAGATATACTTTATACTTCAATCGCTTAACACAACAACTTAAGGTCCTTTGTCGTGTGAAATTGTTAGTACTAAAGTCACGTAAACTCACATCGTATGCACATATTGACCTCGTAAGGGCTCCACACTTCGGATACGTCACACTTTATGGATGAGGACATCTACACATGTGGACATGAGTTAGCAGAAGAGCTACCCCATACAAATAATAGCGATCAAAAAGCCTTTTTATATCCAGCTCTGAATAAAAAGAGCTCTGGATTTTACTTATTTTCTATAGCGGGTAAGACATGACCACAGCAAAATTATCTACTTCAGTATGCAGTCCAACCTGTGTACGTTCAGGCACAACGTTTTTCTGTGTTGCGACTGCTATGCATTATTGTTATTTTCAATGTACACAATGAGGTACACATAATTACTTCTGGAAGTACGGGTAATAAATATCCGCGTGAGAATGTTGCCTTGTTATGATTGGAATGCAAAAGTTGTCTGATACAACTTTGATTATTGCAGTACATATCAATACAGAATATAAGTATGAACCAAATAGAGAATTCCAAGACAACATTATTATCATATCAAGTTTCGATAACCTATACGAATCTCTATACAAACAGGGAGGAAATATCAATAGTCCTTACTTGTCAGTGATGATGATGATGATGATGATGATGATGATGATGATGATGATGATGAATGTCACCAAACATGTCCATGGACATAACTTCTTCACAAATGTCAAAAGGTGTCCTACTATTAGGAACAAGTCGCAAATTGTATTAAATGGGGCATAGAAAGATGTCATTCTCTATAAAAATTGTGTTGTAAAAAATCGCAAATATGACATCTTTGCGTTAATTCACGTGTTTTTGCTGTACATTGCATAATGCTATTTAGCTTGAATAGTTGGCATTTTACAAAGAGAGTATTCTCAACTTGGCTTGAAGTTTCAAGTAAAACGTAACACCAAATAAATTTACAAGTCATATTACAAAATCAATAGAGAGAAAAAAAGTTTTCTAACCTCACCGTATACGGTTCCTGTCAGACAGCCGATCTTATTCAGCACCTATTGAAAGACGTTGTAGTGATTATCAGTTCCGACTAGATAAGATATATCACTATTTACCTTTATAATATCATACGACTCTTTAATATGTAAATGGGATAGGATATTATACCTGAGGTCACAAAACGTGATAACAGACGAGTCAACATGTACACATATTAAAAAGGTATTTATCTCACATTTTCAAACTTTGATTTGTATCTTCATATTAACAAAATTCTTGGAAAATGTTAACAATTGTCTCGGTACAATAAAAACTTCTATCGCATATTAATAGGGAGAGAGAAAGTCGATTATACGAAAATGCTAAAATGAGGAAAAATCAACATGTCAATAATTTTCGTGAACCACCATCAGTTCTAGAAAGTGTCAGATTTAAGAAACAGACATAGAGGCATTGTTTCGGAAAAAAATTCCTTATATGTCTCATATTGTTTGTTCAACATTGACGAGCTAAATTTCTTAACAAACTTTCATCTCCGGATGTACGGCACAATATGGTTTTCGTCTTATTATGACTTAAAATCTAACTGTTTTCCTTTCTAATTTTTTTAAAGAAAAAACAATAATTAGATAACAGACATTATGTTTTTGAAATCGTCCTGAAAAACATTTTCTGTAAATATTTGTCATGAAATGCTCGGTCGAGGCTATATTACACCGGTTGGTGTGTAATACAGTCTGTTACCTTTGGCATATTGTTCTGTACAGACCAGTATAACACCGGTAGAAATGAGAGAGTATCGCTATGGTTTACAAAATCTCGAATCATTTAACTTGTTTTTCGATTAATAGTGTATGAACATTTGAAAATAAAACATATATTGACTTACGTTTCTTGCATAGTGGTGTTCGGCTGGTACGTCCGTAAGGAGACATATTCCCTGGTCATTTATATTTCTGAGCCATCTTTACAATATAAAATTTAAGTTGACGTAAGGAATATATCATGTATATTTATAAGGTCACGCTGTCTTAGTCTATGTTGAAAAGTCCCTTCGACTCCGATATTTACCTGTTTGATAGGGAAATTGCATATGAGTTACAGGTCAATGTATCTTACAAACACGTTCATATCAGAACACAGTATAACACAGCGTATTGCGTAAAGTGTCTTGTTGTGAAACATTAGGTTATGAATGCTTAAACATATTCTAATGTGTTTACCGCTCTTTTCTCAGAAACGTTGGAAGTAGTAAGCAGCATATTAATCGGCAGAATATAAGGATTTCTTTACTCGTGTATACTACATGCTTTCTATATTCTGTCATATTCGTTAACAATGTTCTATTAAAATTATCAACATTAAATATCCTTAATATACAAACTGTATGCAATAAAGGACATACCTGTATAATGAATCCTCAGATGACTGAACATCTTTCCAGGATATAACAGGTATTGTCATCTTTAAAAAAAAACAACAACCCCATGTCAAAATGTATTAAGTGTATTCATGCTATTATTGACCAGCTCAACAGATTTCTGGTCGGTCAATTAAAATTCTTAAACATATCATAAACATAATATCATAAATAACAGAATGATTGCACACAGTAATTAGCCTACATATTCACGTCTATTCTATGTTTTAAGATTGTTATCAAACCAGTTATTGAAACATGTGAGAAATCTCAACACATAGACGTGAAGTGGGAACTCGAAATATTGGGTATTATATAGATAATGAAATATTTGTCTCATCTCTCACTGACAGAAGAAGAACCTTAGCGTAACTACAACAAGAGTTAAAAGGGGTTACATTTAGTTAACAAAATAGACTCATCAGAAAATATCATCTCTACATACATCAGAGTGGAACTGAAGTTTTGCCTGATCTCTTACACGTCGTTGATTCTCCTTGGAATAGGAATGTTCTAGCAGATGTTCTGTGGTGAGTATCCCTTCATGATCTTCTTCATTCCATTGGACCTGGATATCACCATTCTCTTGAAAAGCAAATGCATGTTGGTAATTCAAGCACTCACTGTTCACGTGTTCAAACTCAAATTAATTGACTACCATATTAACATATATCTTATCATGAACCCCATTCTTCAAAAGACTGACTAATTGGTGCAATATTTCAGATATGTTATAGAATTTTAATTGTTTTACATGTCAATGGCAGGTAATTAATATTATATGATCCACGTTATATTTGACAGCTAATGTTTGAATGGAATTAAATCAGAAATTTAGTTTTTCGCTTGCAGATTTATTTCAATTTCATTTTTATTTTATTCAAAAATTAATTGGAAGCAAGGTTGTCTTTTCTTGGTTAGTCTTAGAATCGAAATGAAAACATGTCACAGTATTTTTCAGCCACTGCAAAGGATGTTTACCTTTTGAGATGACCGTCTTTAACGTTAGTGTCAGTGGTATTTCATTGGCAGGCCAGATCCAAGAATTACTTGCGTAATCGTTGCATTTGTTGCATCGACAATTAAATCGCAACCACTTGCTGTGAAAACTTAAAGAAAATAACACAGTTTCAATTTATATATTTATCCAATTTGACAAAACATATAAATTCTGTTTCTTGTTTACGATTGATTGTATTTCGTTTACATTTGCAAAGATCAAATACTTTGGCAACTTTACAGAAGGAATGGTCATTGTTCTGAACTGCAGTGAAAAGTGGATAAAATTAATATTTCAACAATTCAATTTCCCAAATTATATCGCATTATGATTGCAATGACTGCCTCGACCTTGTACAACGCATAGTTAGGAGATATCATTGAGAAATATTGAACTAAGTAAGAGCTGAATCAGTTGGGTACTTCGGTTTTAACTTTTGCTTACAAACTATCTAATCTTAGCAACAATTGTATGTGTTTGAAACGGAATTAATCACAGAAAAGTAGATGAATATACTGGGTACAAGATTTTTCATGGAATTCGGATGAAATACTAAGCCTGATAGTGATTATTTCAAAACTCTTATCAACCATAAATATTCAATGTGTAATCTTATCTAAAACATGAGCTAAAGTGGCGTTTTTTGATCCCATTCATAATACTTCAAGATCAGTTATAAGAATGCACGTTTAGAGTATAATTGTGGAAACTTAAAGGTCAATTATAATATAGAGATATTCATACATCTCAATTAATCTAAATTAACGCACAAGTTTCTAGAGTGTGAATCGTGTACTAAATAATAAAGGATGTGGCGACATAACTTATATCAGTATAACAATGCTACCCCACAATGAAGAGATAATGGTCAAGGATACCGAAACTGAAACATGCAGGGAATTTGCATTATACATTACTTAAACATTTTCTAACTTTTTGCTTTACTAAGGATTGCTCTCGAATCACATACGTTATCACAATCTGTTGTAAATGAATAAAAAGAAAACATTAAAATAGTCGAATATTGCAAAATTTGTTCGTAAACATCTGTTCATCCTATTTGCTAGAGACCGAAGCATTGAACTGTAAAATTAGAAAATTAAGCTTACTGTAATTTGACAACGCTGTATCTTTATTCTGTAAGTCTTCGTCTTAATAATGGAACCTACTTAGACAGCTCTCAGTGAAAGTTATGATTTATTTGCGATCTTTCCTAGTTTAGTGTTTTATTATCTAACTTACCTTGACTGCTCACCATCTTCCCATTTAAGAGACAGAGTTTTTTTATCGTCGGCTACATTAATCGCTTCTATGCCAACGGCTGATTGGTGGAAGTTGTTCTGAAAGACTCACATAGATCAATTTAATGCTAAAAAATATATTCTAATAGCACTTCTTTCTTTTGTCAGTCTGAGGTAGAGGACGAGGTAGATAGTGCTCTATGTATTTCAATCATAGAGCTATTTAATAAGGGGAAAAGCCTATTCTAATACATTGCAGAGACGACGGATTTATTGGTAATCTGAATGATTTCATACACTTTTGATCAGTAATTTTATAAACGAACTGATTTCAAACACTCTTGATCTGTAACTTTATGGGTATAACGATCTGATTTCACACATTCTTAATCAGTAACTTTATAAACGAACTGATTTCACACACTCTTGATCAGTAACTTTATAAACGAACTGATTTCAAACACTCTTGATCTGTAACTTTATGGGTATAACGATCTGATTTCACACACTCTTGATCAGTAACTTTATAAACGAACTGATTTCAAACACTCTTGATCAGTAACTTTATAAACGAACTGATTTCAAACACTCTTGATCTGTAACTTTATGGGTATAACGATCTGATTTCACACACTCTTGATCAGTAACTTTATAAACGAACTGATTTCAAACACTCTTGATCTGTAACTTTATAAACGAACTGATTTCAAACACTCTTGATCTGTAACGTTATGGGTATAACGATCTGATTTCACACACTCTTGATCAGTAACTTTATAAACGAACTGATTTCAAACACTCTTGATCTGTAACTTTATAAACGAACTGATTTCAAACACTCTTGATCTGTAACGTTATGGGTATAACGATCTGATTTCACACACTCTTGATCAGTAACTTTATAAACGAACTGATTTCAAACACTCTTGATCTGTAACGTTATGGGTATAACGATCTGATTTCAAACACTCTTGATCTGTAACTTTATGGGTATAACGATCTGATTTCACACACTCTTGATCAGTAACTTTATAAACGAACTGATTTCAAACACTCTTGATCTGTAACTTTATGGGTATAACGATCTGATTTCACACATTCTAAATCAGTAACTTTATAAACGAACTGATTTCACACACTCTTGATCAGTAACTTTATAAACGAACTGATTTCAAACACTCTTGATCTGTAACGTTATGGGTATAACGATCTGATTTCACACACTCTTGATCAGTAACTTTATAAACGAACTGATTTCAAACACTCTTGATCTGTAACTTTATAAACGAACTGATTTCAAACACTCTTGATCTGTAACGTTATGGGTATAACGATCTGATTTCACACACTCTTGATCAGTAACTTTATAAACGAACTGATTTCAAACACTCTTGATCTGTAACGTTATGGGTATAACGATCTGATTTCACACACTCTTGATCAGTAACTTTATAAACGAACTGATTTCAAACACTCTTGATCTGTAACTTTATAAACGAACTGATTTCAAACACTCTTGATCTGTAACGTTATGGGTATAACGATCTGATTTCACACACTCTTGATCAGTAACTTTATAAACGAACTGATTTCAAACACTCTTGATCAGTAACTTTATGGGTATAACGATCTGATTTCACACATTCTTAATCAGTAACTTTATAAACGAACTGATTTCACACACTCTTGATCAGTAACTTTATAAACGAACTGATTTCAAACACTCTTGATCTGTAACTTTATGGGTATAACGATCTGATTTCACACATTCTTAATCAGTAACTTTATAAACGAACTGATTTCAAACACTCTTGATCTGTAACGTTATGGGTATAACGATCTGATTTCACACACTCTTGATCAGTAACTTTATAAACGAACTGATTTCAAACACTCTGGATCAGTAACTTTATAAACGAACTGATTTCAAACACTCTTGATCTGTAACTTTATGGGTATAACGAACTGATTTCACACATTCTTAATCAGTAACTTTATAAACGAACTGATTTCAAACACTCTTGATCTGTAACGTTATGGGTATAACGATCTGATTTCACACACTCTTGATCAGTAACTTTATAAACGAACT